ATCCAAACCTGCTTACCTGGCCCTCACAGAATGTTTGTGTACTATGTAATATATTTTATTAAAGATGTCTTATTTTCATGAAATAGCTAGAATAAGCTCTATCCTAAGCAGATGGGAAGCTTGATTAACAGAGTACATGACACAACCAAAATTGGTTGCAAGCAAAGGGCCCCAAAGGAAATGGGATCTGGGATAGGTTATCAGACCTAGGCAGGTCTGAAGATAGTAAAGATTCATTTGACATTAGAGGATGAAATATTGGTATTCCATGGTAGGCAGTGGTAAAACAATTGCAGAAGTTATCACCTGTAGGCCTTTTAATTGAAATGCCTTTGAACTCAATTTTGCAGAGACCAAGTAGCTACTGTTAGGGACTCAGGACACTCCTTTCCCCCACAGCATTGGAGAACATATTGATGAGGGGAATATCTTCATTTTGAAGTGTTCTGAAGTGTCCAAATTGTGTAGGCCTCAGATGAGATGGGAGATACTGCCATTGACATGGCTCCCATATTTGAGTGGGATGTTGGAATCCTGGATTCACAGGTCAAGTAGAAGCACTTAACCTGCCAGGTTTAGGTGAGTGCTGTTTATCTTAATAGGCCGCAAGGATGACATTGGCTTGAGCTATAGCAACCCTTGAAGGTGGCTTATTGGTCAACAGATTCCTTGGATCTTGAAATATCTAAACATTCTCAAAAGTTGCATTTGATCAGTGTAAAGATAAATAAAATATAATTATAATAAAATATAAGAAAATAAAAAATATATGAACTCTAGATCTGGGGACTTGAGCTATCTTGATGGCAAATGATGGTCCTTTACTCAATTCCCACACCTGACCCAGAAAACCATGAACAAATAGACTACTGAGGAAAAACCCTACAATGAAGTCACAGGTATCTACAGTAAATCATCTTCCTGGACTTTGCCAAAGGACCCTCCAGCCATTTACCAGAATTACAGTGTATTTGCTCTAAGGACACTTTCTCTAAGCCACAGCTGAACATACTTGTTCTGGAAGGGACCAGATCATAAATATTTGAGGCTGTGTGGGTGATTTGGTCTCTCTTGTAACTATTCAACTCTTCTATTGAGAGTGAAAGCCACAATAGAAATAGTATGGCTGTATTTCAGTAAAAATGTATGTATGGGTGCTGGCATCTGAATTTCAAATAATATTCATTTGTCAAGAAATATTATTTTGCAAAAATTCAAGTATGTAAAAACCATTCATATCGTTTTTTAATGTTTTTTATTGATTTCAGAGAGAGGAAGGGAGAGGGAGAAAGAGATAGAAATATCAATGATGAGAGAAAATCATCAAACAGCTGCCTCCTGATGTCACTTACTGGGGATCTAGCCCGAAACCCCGGCATGTGTCCTGACTTGGAATTGAACTGTGACCTCCTGGTTGATGGGTTGACACTCAACCACAGAGCAACGGTAGCCAGGCAAAACCATTCTTATCTTAAAGACTCTACAAAAACAGGCCACAGGCCTGGTTTGGCCCATGAGCCATTGTTTGCCAGTTCCTGATCTAAGCTTATGGAATCACTAACGCCCCAAAACAACACTGAGTGGAAATTCAGGAAAATATTGTGGCAGCCATTCCTAGGAGCTTCTGGCAAACATAAATCAAAAGCTGATATTTTAACACAACGGTTTTCAACCTTGGTTGCACACTGCAATCACGTGGAGAGTTTTAAAATGCATTTTACCTGGATTTGACCCCAATTCTGCTTTAAGTGTTGTGGGTGTGGACTGGTGGTAGTGATTATTTCAATCTCCTCACGTGGCTGAATTGTTTAAACAAGTTTGAGAACTACCTTAAAAAATTCAGTGTTGGATTTGACCTCAAAGGCAAGGGAAGTAAAGGAAAAACAAATGAATGTGACTATATCCAACTATAAAGTTTCTGCACAGCATAAGAAACTAACAAAAAGGCTACCAAGTGAATGTTAGATGATATTTGTAATTAACAGCTCCAACAAGGGGTTAATATCCAAAACCACATAAAGAACTCATACAACTCAACACTAAACAAATAATCCAATTAAAAAATGGGCAGAAGACCTGAATAGACACCTTACCCAAGAAGACATACAAATGGCCAACAGATATTTAAAAAGATGCTCAACTTCGCAAGCTATTAGGGAAATGCAGATCAAAACTACAATGAGATACCACCTCACACTTGTTAGAAATAGTTCCCACGGAATCTGAGAAAAGAGAAACAGTACAGAAGAACAGTGTACAATGAAGTGTCTCTGACAGACGCCTGGAGTTCAGGGCATCTTGGTCCCAGACACTGTTCCCATCACTGCCTAACAGCCTTTGAATGAGTCCCATCCCAGGGCTCACTTCAGCCCTAACACAGAGTCACTCATTACTGGTTCTGGGCACAGGATGAGGTCAGTTTGGTCAGGGTTTGAATCCTAATGATAAATCCTATGGTCTGGGTCAAGTATCTTTGATCTCATGGTGACTCACATAAATTTTTGTCCTTAAATTGAGGACAATAATAGCCTCTATGTCATGAGGCAATTGCAAGAACTGAGTTAATATATGGAGCTACACTGAAAGCACCTGGAGAAATGCCTGTGACTTAATAAGCCTCATATGTATCTTAGCTGTTTCTAGGTTAGGTACTTAGCACAATGTCTGGTGTTTAGTGAGGGAAGGATATGTGTTATTTATATTCATTGTTACAAGTACTCTAGAAAATGAGAAAAAACGTGTGTATCAAAGAAGATTCTGGAGTCAGCTGTTAACATTTGACATGATTCAGCAACACCATTTCATAATTTTAAAAACTCAACAAGGAATAGAAGGAAACATCACTAACAGAGAAATGCAAATAAATTCCAAAATGTGTCAACAATAAAAAAAAATCACAATGTGTTTCCTAGCCCGTGTTGCTCATTTGATTGGCACAACATCCCATACAACAAAAGATTGTGGGTTCAATTCCCGGTCAGGGGGCACATACCTTGGTTGCAGGTTCAATCCCCAGTTGGGAAGTGTGCGAGAGGCAACCAACTGATGTTTTTCTCTCACATCCATATTTCTCTCCCTCTCTCTCTCTCTCTCTCTCTCTCTCTCTCTCTCTCTCTCTCTCTCTCTCTCTTTCTCTCTTTCCCTCTTTCCCCTCCTCTAAAAAAATCAATTAAAAATATATTTTTTAAAAGTCAACAAGGATATAAGAAATCAGAATATCGCAAATTCACTTCCAGTGCCACCCATGGAAGGTCTCAAAGGCTGTGAGTTATAGGATTGTCCTGACAGTGGGCCACACAGTGACAGCAATGACTTCCCAGAAGAGTTCATCTGAGGCCTGGTTGTCATTTACACTGTGGAATGAACAGCAATGAAGAGATGTTTACTCATAAGTGGACCTGAGGCAGTATGGAGCAATTAATGTACAAAATGTACAACACACAAACCTAGAGAACATTAAATATGAGACCCCCATAGGAAGCTGATTTCTAACAGTTTAATTCCTATAATCTTCCTGACCCTCAAAGCACCAGTGTTGTTCTCTGCTGGTACAGTGTTTCAGTTGAATGTGGTAAAAATAAAATATCCTTAGTGAATCCACATATGAGAGAGAGAACTAAGACTACCTTATTTTTTTAGATGCCAGAAAAACTGCCAAATTCTTCCACATGGTGAATTATATATGTTGGCAGGAGTGTTTGTGGGGGGAGAGGTGGACAGCAGCACAACTCCTAGGAGTGAATACACAGTGCAACATAACCAAGACACTTTATGGGCATACCTGTGGCTACGATCTCCAATAAAGTAGAAAACATACAAGAGACTTCTTAAAGAGAGGTTTTACACAGTGATAAAAGGGCCAATCCACCAGGGAGACATAATGGACCTAAGTGTGTATGCACCAAACAACAGAGCCAAAGAATACATGAAGCAAAAACTGATGGAGCTGAAAGGAGAAATAGCCAAGTCCACTGTGATAGTTGGAGCCTTCAGCACCCACTCTCAGCAAGAATGGCTAGAGAGAAAATCAGCATATAGGAGATCTGAATAACAATAACAGGATCTGTGTGACAAATAGAACACTGCACCTAACAGCAGCAGAGTACAATGTTTTTCAAGTATCTATGTAACATTCACCAAGACAGGCCATCAAACAAACCTCCACAAGTTTAAAAAGGATTGAAATCACATGGAGTATGTTCTTTGACCATAGAGGGGTCAAATTAGAAGTCAATGATAGAAAGAGAAAAGAAGAATCCCTAGATATTTGGAAATGGTAATGGAAACAACATTCCAGTTTGTCGTCCATACCCTTGTTATAGAAGAGTTGAGGTTAGAAAGAGCTGTCTCTTGAACTCAAAGGCATTTCAGTGGGTGAAGAGAAAGCTCACTCTGGCTGTTTCAAAGAGTATTGTTGGGGACAAGGCAGGAGGGAGGAAGACAGTTTATGAGGCTAGTATCTCTGTTCCACCTGATATTAAAGCTTATACTGCAGCAGCAAAGGAAGCACAGCTTGCTGAGTGTTAGTGGAATCAGTGTGGTGGCTGATTGGGTTTGGGAAGCATGAGAGGGATTGCTTCCCATGTATTGATGGGGTTGTTAGCTCTGAGAGAGGCAAGATTTACATGCCCTCCTGATTTATGGTTGGCATCCACTCTAACTCTTGGACACATATACCTCTCTTCTTTATAAAACTTACTATATTTTTTAAAAGGTTCAACACAGCTACCTCCTTCTTCTGACCTCTCCCCTCTTCCTCCTCCACTTGCTCTTCCTTCCACACCATGTGCCATTTCTCCCCTGATAGTACCATCTGTCAAATAAGGCTCTTATATCTGAACAGGCAGAAGTGTTTCCTTTCTGGGGTTTAATGGGATTGATCTCATAGCAGGTTGGCATTTTGTTGCCCTGCCATGGTGTTAGCCTAAGACGTGGTACATGGTAAGTGGCCACAGATGTGTCTCCAAAGTTTATTTTTGTTCCTTGTTTCAGAAGACAATGGTGTCTGTTCACCTCAAGGAAGAAAGAAAGGTTGGAGTTCTTTTCGAGGTAATTTTGACAAGAAGACCCATTGTTATCAACATGTTGGATATGAACTTCAGCCTTCACACCTCCAGAAGGATGATAGAAAGGTGAAGATGAGGGGAGTGCAGAAGTACCAACTCAGACAGTAAGTGACCCTGCAGCCTGGTTTGCATGTAGCAGCCCAAGGGACTGTGTAACTCTTTCTCTGTCCATGGTTTTCTTTTTTTCTCTCACTGGAAAACTGAAGAATGCTAGAAGTGAAATCATGGTTGAACAATCCTAACTGTAGTCCGGGTGTCAGAGATGCAAGGATATATAGAAGACTTTCTTAACATTCATGGCCACCCTTTTTCTTTCCACTTGTCCCCTGCCAGCACTCCCTATACCATGGGACAGAACAAGAGGAGAGTGCAATGGCATAATGAAGGCCGTCTCCGCGTTACTCTGTGGACTAATAGAAAACATCTCAGGAGTGAAATGGGGGAGAACACACAAGATCAAACCCTGGGTAGCTGGTTCAAGGTCACAGTGAGTGTCCTGAAAAAAATGTATGGAATGTTCTGGAGAGAAAGAAAGGTCAGGTGGACTATGTTGGTCTCATGTGGAGACACTTGGTAGTTTGCTGTGGACAGTTTACAATATGTCTTTTTATTATTTCTCTAAGAGCAAATTCATTGAAGCAATATAAGGAAACAGGGTGACTGTATGGAAAACAGGAGGCTATCTAAAGGGAAAGGTGAAACTACTGCCAAGGAAATGGAGCAAGTCCACACTGGATGTCTCAGTTTGGCTCAAGCTGAGTGCGGGAGATGGAGGGTCAAGTCTCTGGAATACTTCTCAGAGGGGCAAGCAGTGTCCTAAATAGCATCTCCTGGAACTCTATAAAAAGAAGAAAATGTCTAACCCGTTAAGTTGACTTTGGGGAGGAGAGCTTTAAAAGGAAAGATAATAGAATTAGGAACTCTGTATTTGGCACAAACATGAGAAATCATGCCAGTGGTCCCTTCTTTAGAAGCCTTTGAAAATTCAGTAGAGGTAGGAAAAGAACACTGTTGGGTCTGTTCTCTAGCCTTCTTTCATGTTGTTCCTCTTGTCTCTGTGCCCTTATTTTCACCCTTAGGTTCCCTTTGGAAGGAAGTATGACAAGACATGGCTAATGGAGTCAATCCAGAGACATTGCACTGTCCCCTTCACTCCAGTGGATGTAAGTGAGGATGGTGAAGCCAGATGAGGAGACACAAGTAAGGGAGAGAACCTGGTTCAGGTTGGGCCATGGGCCTCTGACACAATTGTTGTTGCCTTCAATCCCTATAGTTTCACTATGTGAAAAAGAGGGTCGGGTTCTTTGTCCAGGATGCTAGTGCTGCCTCTGCGTTGAAGGATGTCAGCTACAAGATTTGTGATGATGAGAACCGAAAGGTGTGTCGAATTCATTCTCGTACTTAGTCCCTGGGCAGGAGAACAGGCAGAGCTGGTCACCTTCCTGTAGGACTAGAGTTTCTGGTGCTTACCCCACCTCTTCTTCCTGCAGATACCAGTCTATGTCAATTCATCTGCTGTACCTTACTCTGTGCGGGATAAGTTGGAGCCAGAAAAAATGGAAAAGCTAAAGGTAATGCAGACTCAAGGGTACTTGGTTGCCCCCAGACCCACATTTTCCTCCTCCAGCCATGATTTTCTTGCCACCACAACAGCCTCAGAGCTCTCTCTCCATCTCCCTCTGCAGCTGGCCATGAGCAAACGATATGATATCTCTCAGAAAGCTCTTGATCTCCAGTTGCTCCGCTATGACTCAGGTACAACTAACAGTAGTAATTCTAGAGCAGATGAGGGCAGAGGTTTCTGCCTGAGTGGGAGACTTAGGGATGGTGACAAGGGAGGGTTTGGTGTTGGTCCTAGACCACTCTCAGCCTTCTTATTGCCTACTCTTGGCTTCCTGAAGACTTGGTGGGCCATGATGTTGATATAATCCTGAATAGAAGAAACTGCATGACTGCCACCCTGGAGATCATCAAAAAGAATTTCCCTGAGGTGAGGCCTTAGGCTCAGTGCTGGTGTTATAGTAGGGGGTGGAACAGAGGGGATGGAGGGCAGATTTGTCTCCAAGGTCCTAGATAGTAACTGTCACTCTAACTCTTCTTCCCCAAAGCTGCTCTCCTTGAACTTGCACAACAACAGACTGTGCCAGCTTGATGGCCTGTCTGATATTACACAGATGGCCCCCACAGTAAAGATTCTGAACCTCTCCAAAAATGAGGTGAGAAGAGGGACAGAAAGTTGGGTTGAAAGTGGGTGGTAGTGTTCATCAGAGTGATGATGGTAGGCAGGCAAAGGTACCTGTGGGGGAGGGAGGGAGGGCACTGTGGGTTCAGTGGCTTGGATGTCCCGCTTTCCCTGGGACTATTTTTCAGTTTCCTCCCTGTATTTCTCAGCTGAAATCAACCTGGGAGTTAAGCAAGATCAAAGGTCTGAAGCT